GGTGTAAAGTAGTAAGTACTTAAACCTAGGGGAGGGCATCGGTTATGCGCAACTAGTAGATGCCGATTACGTAGGCTAGTAGAAATACCTATAAAGCAGGCAATTTATACGACTATTTTAGACAGATAAATGGTAACTTACGGGTGCACCATATGTGTGGACAACATAGTTACAAAGGAAAGCACAATTAGAGCCTGCTGGTGCAGCCCTGAACATGGAGGCGTTGGTTTGGTTTGCCCTAAAAGAAGCAGATGTTGGTGGATGCCTTAGCTACAGGGACCACGGTTCCGTGCATTCACATATGTTCCAGTCCGCATTTATCAATTACATTCAGTTTCCGGATGCTCGGACAAAAGGCACCAAACCGCGGAGATTATAGGTCGCTTCGTGGCTACAGAAGACGCCAGGCCAGTGTGGTTATGTAGAAGCAGCCTTCCTATCTGCTTTTGTAAGTACGTCGACTAAAAATTTCGTTTTGACAATAAGAGTAAAAGTACAGTGTTCCGACTGCTGGGACTCATCGACACCGGCACTTTAATAGGTTTAAACTAACTAGCCATCTAACCAGCTGCGTACGGGCAAGTTGCTGCTACCATCTAACTGCCGCCAACTGAGAATCGTCGTCTGTTCAGGAATCGCTGACGGCGCGCATGGATACGCGAAGCGGAATTTCAACTCCGAGTTAATCTCGTGTGATGGAGTTCTGTTCGATGTAACGATCGGGATGGTATTGTGGTGCTATGTGTGCTGTCGTTTGTTTTCTTGGCAAGTGTCAGCTGCCTACTGGCAACTGCACGTCCTGCTTAGATCATGCGCAAGTGATAGCTTAAAAAATTCGTACTTTATGCCTATAAGTAACTCGACCAACAATCAATCAGTACCTTTGGTTCTTCGCTGGACCTGCATACCGACGAGCACAAACTAAAAGAGCTTAAGGCTTTGTTACCGAATCACTCAGATATAGCTGCATGACAAACTGGTGACTTAGGTTAAGCAAACCTCGTAACCCCCCAGACTGACACGAGGGATGGGACTCCGATAGAAATGCTTCCGAGGAGAATACCACAAAACCGATAGTGTAATAACTGAAGCGCTGGAAAATAGGTTGAACAGCCAGCTGGTTCCTCGTGGGCAGTCCCCGGTGCGCTGGTAATGAAGGACGGTGGTTTCCGATTAGATGTTGGATATAGATGATTAAATGAAGTGATTCGGGACGAAGCGCTGCTTCTTCCTGGAAACGATGGGCTAGTTGACGCACTTAAAGGATCGGCCTATTTCAGCTATTTCGACCTGAGTTGAGGAGAATGGAACGTCGTGTGTATAAGATCCTTTGGTCAGCTAGAAGAATCACTCTGCACTACCCAAGTGCTAATTATTCGACCTCTTACCAAATGCTGGAGAGTTAATGTTAGCTAACGTGGACAGGAACCAGTGGATTGGGGCTGTATAAAATAAACTAAAATATACAGAAACATATTCCCAACCATGTGAGGCCAGCACTAAGTGGCGTGATTATTAATGGGAAAATTTGTACAGTACTTACGTAATAGGCTGAACTTCGATAATGGAGCGTCATTCAGCATTTTTCTATGAAATGTACATCTATGGAGTAATGGACGCAATGAATAGTTAAGTGATTTAGCTTGCTTCTGCTTAACTGTGTCAAGATTTGACAAAAGATTTGGCCAACACAATCATAGGTTTCTTGGCCAGACTTAAGTATCTGCGCACCGCTGCGCTTTAGCCCCATACCCACTGACGGGAGGGCAACCAGCTTCAGTTTCGCCAGCTACAAGCTGTGGGGATTCCTGCCCAAAATCACCGTGGGTGTCAGGACCGTAATTAATACAGCAGGCAGTATCAGATGTGACGTGTGGTAGCAAAGATTTCAACAAGAATATCAGTCAGCTTATGATAGTACATTTCAACCGGCTAAGGTCATTCCAGATTAAAACCGAGCGTACTGTCGAAGGATCGAAAAAAGGCCTGCGGCGGTAACGATGGAACTGGAAGTAACGGCTCAACTAGGATATGGCCAGGCAACGGGGACGCTGCTTAAAAAGCTTGGGTGTGCTGCTGCGAGAAAGCAAAATTGTAACTGCACTTGGATCCTTGACTTGACGACACGGTTTTCTGTCTTCCAAGACCCCTTTCCAGTGCAATTACTGCAGCACAAGAACCCGGATACAGCTGTTAGCCGTTTAGTTGTTTTATTTGTTTGTTTTCTTCAATTTAAGCACACTTCGCTTCTTTCTTTTAGAGGCTATGTGTTGTGTAAAAGACGTTCCTTCTCAGCCTTTGGAGTTCTTTCTTGCTGTAATCGAGGGCGTCATTTTGTCGCCCATGGTTACAGTTTAAACATCGCCTTTTCACCCTCAACTTGCAGCCCCGCATGTTTCCTTGCTAACTTCAATCCCATTCCCTCTTACTTATTTGGAGTAAATACAGTTCTAATTTTGTATCGCGCCCACTTTATGTTTTGGCTACAATATAACTCTCCACTTTCTTATTGCACGTAGCCGGAGCAGTGGGGTCCCCTAGCGCAGCACGCATGGGCTTGATTGGAATTGGCTGACGGAGCTTCGGAAAATCCGAAGAAATTCTTCGCTTATGTTAAGAGACGCTGTGGTTCAACTTCGGTAATCCCAACTTTGATGAGGGCCGATGGAACTCCTGCGTATGCGGACTCAGATAAGGCTCGTGTACTTGGGGAACAGTATGCAGGTTCTTTTGTACGTGAGGCCGCGTTGACTAGCGTTGAATTTGTCCCCAGAGTACCTGATGGTTCTTATTTAGCTGAGTTTACTGTGGTGGAAACGCAAGTCCTTAAACTGCTGCAAGAACTGAACCCTTCCAAAGCAGCTGGAACTGATTCAATTCACCCGAAGCTTCTGCATGAGTTGGCGGGGAACTAAGTGGACCGCTGACGATGGTGTTTCAGAAATCACTTGACACCTGTACATTACCTTCCGAATGGAAGGAGGCTGTCATCTGTCCTATCTTCAAAAATGGCCACAGGAGTCTGTCAGCCAATTATAGGCCAGTTAGTCTGACTAACGTCGTGGTCAAACTGCTTGATAAGCTGGTGAGAGATTCGTTGGAATGTCACCTGAATAGATTTAATCTGCTCAGTAGTGCACAACATGGATTCCGGAAGGCATTTTCGTGTTTGACGAATTTGTTGGTTGTTCGTGAAGTTTGGGCCGAGGCAGTGGACAATGGCCACGTGGTGGATGTGCTTTTCGTAGACTCGAAAGCATTTGATGAGGTACCCCACTTGAGGCTATCACATAAGCTGAGCTCCTACGGCGTTTCTGGCCGCGCTCTTCACTGGGTATCTGCGTTTTTGCAGGGAAGAGAGCAGTGTGTACGTGTGGGTCGCAGCTTATCCTTTAAGCAAGCGGTCCTTAGCGGTGTCCCAAAGGGCTCGGTCCTTGGACCGATGCTGTTCTCCATCTACGTAAACGATTTCCCTGGAGAGCTTGGGGTATCATCCCTATTGTTTGCTGATGACCTTAAGCTATGGAATGTTGTAAATGTTCATGGGGGTTCTGAGGCCATACAGCGTGCCCTGGACAGACTCTGGGACTGGTTTACTTTGTGGTTACTGCCCATAAATCAGGCTAAGTGTTCCGTCCTTCGTATATGAGCAACTTTCCCGCCTTCGAGCTACGTACTCGGTGGGGTCGAACTCCCCCTTGTCTCCAACCAGATAGATCTAGGTGTCGTTCATTCCTCGTCTTTGCATTCTGGTGGCAGCTGGAAGAAGGCCGCTAGTAGGGGTTTCAGAATGTTATGGTTAATACGCCGTTCTTTCGGGGTCTTAACTGCCGACATATTTGTGAAGCTATTCTCAGCTTTCGTTCGGCCCCATCTGGAATACTGCGTCCAGGCTTGCGCGCCCTGCCTTGTTCGGGACAAAATGGAGCTTGAGAGGGTTTTGAGAGTAGGTACCAAGTTGGTCGAGGGGTTGCGGGGGCAATCGTACCCCGAGCGTCTACTTAGCTTGGGTATGTATTCAATGCACTACCGACGGCTTCGAGGAGACCTAATCCTTACTTACCGCATTTTAACAGGGAAGGTTGGGCCGGACTTGCGCTGGCTATTTAGCCCGGCTAGGTTGCCTTGTCTTCGCGGTCATCCCATGAAGCTACCCAAGCCGCGTTCTGACGGGATCAGGGCGGAAACTCCGTTATCGCGTAGAGTTATCGAGCGCTGGAACTCGCTTCCAGAAAATGTAGTCAGTGAACCTACGGTTAAGGGTTTCGAGCGTCAGTTAGACGCTCTTGGGTGGCAACACGAAACCTTTCCCTTCTCCTGACCATATCCATCTTCAAACTTTCAGTTCTTATTCTGTCATTATCTTCACTCTTTGGTGTTATCCTTCATTTTAATGACTTTCATTCCCCTTTATCTTCCATTTACTTTCTACTTCTTTCTTACTTCACGTAACCTACACAGCGCGGACTGCTAGTGCAGGGAACGTGGGCAGTAGTTGGTTGATCAGGGTGTGTTTCGGGTGTTTCGTTTTAGATCTATCAAGAACTAACACCTTATCATTTTCTGGCTCAACGATTTGCTCAAGAAGGAACACTCATGGGATTTTCCTATCGTTCCAGTCCATCTGAATCTGAATCTGAATCTGGTTGACCACGAAGTGTTCTGCACGTTCTATTTGGCACATACAATTCGCCAATCATACACTGAACTGGAACATTGATTAACGACGTATGCAAACTCAATCGAGCATGGGAATCTTCATTTTTCCTACCCCATTTAAATTTGAAGTCGAACTTTACATGAATACTTCAGAAAACCTTGGGCATCCTTTTAACCTAACGGAACTACTGGTTTCCGGTTGTACGCCACAGTTAAAATGGAAGCTAATTTTTATTGAGCCGATTGCGATTATGCCAGCTTTCTCTAATTATATGTGGTAAATAGTGCGCGAATTAATTTCTGTTGACCTTAAAAACGCTCGATAACCTTGACATGCGGATATGCCAATGGCATCGTCCGTGCCAAAGCTCCGCTTTTTGTTCCTTGTTTCCGCTTTTTCCGTGGTACGCACCACTGTATTTGTTATGGTACGTTTGGATGTACAACTGTTTTGCTATATTTGAACTTTTCATATCCATCCGAATTGTCGTGTTGCCACTGTACAGTGGTTCACTATTTATGACTGCTGTTTATGCTCATTCTTTCTTACCTAACGAGTCGCTACATTAATGCTTATCTATGGCTGCTATCGCGATGCTAGAATTATAAGCAGCCCCAGAGCACTGTCCGGCACTTATGCTGCATGCATTTGTCTGACAGCCCAAGTAGGATTGGGACTAGGAAAAATTCCCGTGAATGTTCTTTCCGTCACTCATCGTTGGTCCAGGGTATTATTCTTCCGCGATAACTAAAAACTAGAAGAGTCAGATCAGCGCGCGGGAATCACCACGGTCAACCAATTAATACCCACGCGACCTGCACTGGTCACGTTAAATTAGAAACCGAAGTACGAAAGTAATAAGAGCGTTAAGAATCAAAAAGTAATACATTTACTAAGGGGAGTAAGCTATTCTGTGAAGGGAATGTTAAGAATTAAAGGCCAAGAGCGTCAAGTCAGTGTTCTAACTCTTTTACCGTTGATGCCAATACCACCTTCTCAGACAGCGCATTCCAAGAATCCAACACGGCGTGATAAACGAAACTCCGCCCGGACTCCATCCGATCAAGATTTTTGTAGCTTCATCGAGTGACCTAGGAGAGATGGAAGCCGAGCCGATTGGATAAGCCCAGAGGAATCGGATCCGATTTTCCTGCTATGCAATAGGTCAAGACCAGGTCGCCTCGATGGCGGCGATAATGCTTTGAGAACATTCCCAGCTCAAGTAGTCTTTCTGGTTAAGGAAGGTTCTGTAGTCCTTGAACCATTGTGGTTCTAACTCAACACCACTGACCTCCTGTCCCTGACTAAGCAAGGTGGACAATTCTGGATGCAGTATTCCAAGTGTGGCTTGACAAAAGCTGAGAATAATCTAACAAACATATCGCCGGTGATGGTCCCGAATGCCCTACGGATCACCCACAACATTCTGAAGCCCCATGCACCCCTCCAGTTCTTACTGGATTTAAGTTCAGTAGACAATGTGGTCCCTAGGTCTACCAGTTGGAAAACATGGTGTAGTTTATTCTCGCCCAGCAGATAACGCGTTTGGGGGCCATTTGGCCCTACTCGTAAGATAGGACACTTCGCATAATTTATGGGCAACTGCCACAGAGCGGCCCAGTTCCAAAGTTTATTGAGGGCCCGTTGCAGAGTCTGAATCCATCGAGGTCGGACACTGTGTGCCAAAACTTTAAGTCGTCTGCAAAAATGAAATATCGTACTCCCAGCATTTCGGGCAGCTCATTGACATACAGAGAAAATAACAGTGCCAAGCACCGAAACCTGAGGGACCCCAGTGAGGACTGACTGACTGACGGAAAGCCAGACTAGACCCCACACAAAGCACATCTCTCTCCCTTCCAGCAACATGGTGATCCATTGTAGTGCATGCCCTGATATTCCATAGGACCGAAGCTTCAATGAGGGACGAGAATGTGATCCAGTGTCGGACGCTTTGGAGAAGTAAATAAACACATTTACTGCATGACCCTGATCCAAAACATCTGCCCAACATTCGCGTGCAACTAGCAAATTAATCATGCAGGAGTGACTTGCGAAAGCCATGTTGAAGTGGACTGTTCAGACCAAACTCTCGCAGTTGGTTTTGAAGCACATCCTTGACAAACTTCTCCAATACCTTGACGAGTACGCTTGTCCAACTTACCGGTCTGTAATTGGCATCGAGATGCTCGTCGCCCTTAGTACAATTAGGGCAGACGATAGCATCCTTCCGGTCCTTGGGAAAGGAGCAGCTGCGAAGCGATAACTGAAACAAGCGTGTCACTTGGCCATATAGCTCGCTTGCGAGTTCGTCCAATCTTTGGGTTAATATCATCCATCCCAGCGGATTTAGCAGGATTTAGCCCCTGAAGAAGATGGAGAATTTGTGCCTTCGAGATTAAGACCTCCGTTAAACAGGAGCCCTGTGGGTAGGTCAAAACTGATAGTACGAGTCTCGTCAGCGGAACCCATTTCAACGCGGTGACCGTCCAATTTCTGTACGAGAATGACTACGACGTACCATATTTTGTACTGAAATCGGACCTTAAAAATTGGCATAATATATTTTCCATTTATTGTCAATCATCATTCCTGTTGATTGCTGCCACCTTGCAATTGTTCAGGCAGCGTTCAATATCGAAGAAAACTGCGTAAACCTTTTACAGTGCCCTAAAACACCAGGAGTTACCCGAATAAAACACTAATGATGAGTTAGTGTGATAAAGCTAGGTATGGTTAATTCATCCGTGTAACCATTTTTCTCTGATTTTAACGCCCTCGTTCCTCACATACCAATTTCCTTCAGACATTGGACATTCAGCAAACTCATACCCTTAGCCATCTGCTTGCACATCCATTTGTTAAACGTTGCTGTGTATTTCTAATCATTTAGGTGGCATTCGGTACAGCTGTTAACAATGTCAAGTGTTTTTTCGTTTTCCGCACCCCGATTTCAATCCGTAAGCGGACTGCAATCCAACAGTTGACCGCCCGGTAATGGTATCAGAGAAGGCACTGATGTTTATATTCGTAAATGCTGAGGTGGATGCGATTGTACTTGATTCATGGGTATTCAGGCCATCGTAAGGTTTGTATATTTAGTTAGCAGTTTGCTGGGTTGTTTTTCATGTAGCGGGCCGTTACCAAAAGTTTGAGTTTTTTTAGGTAAACACAATCTTAGGCAAAACATTCACAGTAGAAGAACAAGCAGACATTTGCATTATAGCTCTTCCTTCACTTATCGTTAGTCCGATGCAGACTGCTGATTCGTAGCTATATATCCGACTTCTTGTTGCGAAGACGCAAGCACAGGCAGCAGCAAACGAAACCAACACGACGCGAGCGAGTTGACTATGTTGTATACGAAATTCGTTAATGAACACATGGCACAAAATGGTCTGTAACAGTGGTTATAAAAAGGAAGATAACAATATCATCTAATCACAACCGCTACATATACAACGTCTATAGGTTAGATATTGTTGACAGGATTTAAACTTCTTTCCGTGGTCCCAGAGAGTTAGGGTATATTCATTCTGTGTAGCAGCTTAAATACTACGCACGCTTAACCTATGTCATATGGGCCTGCCTTAATTCAACCAGAAGCTGCAGCAGCAGAACTGTGTAGGCGGCGTACTATTTCACTGATCATTTATAGCTGTACCCCACTTTCCAAACGGGTGCAAGCTGGCTTCTGTCCCATTCTAGGAATAACAACAGCATTTTCCTGCCAAGTTCAAATTCGAGTGGGACTGTCAATCATAATTTGTTCAGTCATATTAGCGTTGTCATACTGCATTAAAGACTTGCTAGAGCTAGCTTGGAGATTCATCTGATTAGATACAATGAAAATATCGTTGCACAGCGCGGATACTGGAAACGATTTCCGTACGGCATGAATCTATTAGTAATTCGTGAATCATTGGCTGATGAAGAATAATAAGAAAGAAGCGGACTTACGGGAAAACCTTAATGCCCTAAGCAAACATTCAGGGTCACGGTGCCTGCACCTTGTCAACAACATACAATCACAAATAGCTGGCTATCATACAAAAATAATGCGGCATCGGCGAGACAGCTTCCCTGAGGCTTTCACTACCCCGCGTCATACTCAGTCATTACCGCGCAGATAACAGCACCAAACCTACTTTAAACAGTCAGTTCCACTAGGAGATGGCAGCAGACGCGCCACTGGTGCCGACTGCGTGCTGTCCTCTAAAGTCGTGAGCCAAGCACAAGGCGCGTCACGTTGACTCTGACCCGGCAGGCAACATGGACCAACGGCACCCAGTTTGGTCATCCGTGACTTCATTTAACACTGTTCAGAGTCAGCCGGAACTTTTCTTTCGGATTCCAACAGGTTTACCGACCTCTCGGTCATCTAGTGACCTACGCTGGGATGATTGATAGTACCACAAGCAGATGCTCCTGCGTCGTGCATGATGCTCCAGATCCTATTCTACTGAGGTTCAGTGTCATTAAGACGAGACGTTGAAAGTTCGGTACTCATTGGCTTTTGATGGGCTTTCCTGCCCGAGGGCTGAGACAGTTTCTCCGTTGCCAGTCTGGAGAGACACTTGGTACGCCTCCAGCTAAAGTCCATGGAGAAACGACTGCATACAAGGGCATGGTCAGAGTCGATGTAGATATTCCAAAATGAGCGGCGATCTATGGTGGATTTACGCCACCTGTAACATAGCAATATAATCTATTTGGGTCTGTCGCTGTCCAGTTACAGGACTACGCCAAGTAGCACTTCGGCGCTCACTGTCTGGAAGCAGTGCCACTACGAAACAGCTGGTGCTTCGCACACAGTTGCAACCGATGCTCGCCGTTGTCAGTCCGTTCGGAGTTGTGACCATAATTATCACCTAGCTGAGCTTCTGAATATTTCAGGCGGATTGCGTGTGCGTTCATATCCCCTGCAAGTATTATGACATCTGAACTAGTAGCACTGCTTAGTTGAGCATTCGCTTCGCGATAGAATGTATTCTTGGCAGCACTGCATTTGGTGGGAGCATAAGCGTAACCACAAACAAGCGGCGTTTTGTACTACTTCGTGAATCAACCTTGGTCGGTGTCGTCAAATGGGCTGCACACAAACGGCTGTTCACCGGAATTCAACCAACCAACGATGGCTCAGCTTTGGAGCATAGAATGATAGGTTCTCCAGCTTAACCTATGAGGGCAGCATCGTCTCTGGTTGGATGCAACCAATAACGAGAGTACAAGCTGGGTGCAGTTAATTCAACAACCCCATTAGGGTAATTGATCCTAGTTTCGGACCTACAGCATACGTCAATACCCAGTGTGTCCAACGTGCGTACGAGTGCAGCTTGCTGACCTATTTGTCTTTGAGTGCGAATGTTGAACGCCGCCAGGGAAACGGGACAACGTGGCTTTATAATGGGCGGTAGCCGATAGGCG